CCCCAGGTGCCTGTCGGGGCCTGGGTTTCAGCTGTCCACACCACAGCAGTGGGCAACGAGCTTAAAGCCCCTGATGACTCTGGGCGCTGACTCTCACCAGTGGTTATGGATGAAATCACAGGCGATTTTCAGCCAGCGCCCCAAATCTTTGTTTTCTTGATGTTGAGTTTCAATCCGTATTGAAGGCTGCAGTCCTTGACCTTCTGCAGCAAGTGCTTCACCTCCTCCTTAATTTCAGCAAGCAGGGTTGTGTCATCCGCATAATGCAGGTTGTTAATGACTCTTCCACCAATCCTGATGCCACATTCCTCCTCGTACAGCCCAGTGCCTCTGATGATCTGTTCTGCATACAGACTGAAAAGGTATGGAGACAAAATACATCCCTGAGAGACTCCCTTCTTGATTTTGAACCATTAGTGTCTCCTTGCTCTGTTCTGACGACTGCCTTTTGATCCAGGTATATGTTTCTCATAAGCACAATCAAGTGTTCTGGAATTTCCATTCTTCTCAGAGTCAGCCATACCTTGTGATTCACATAGTCAAAAGCCTTTGCATAATCAATGAAACACAGATATTCCTCTGGTATTCTCTGCTTTCTGCCAAGATCCATCTAACATTAGCTATAATATCCCTAGTCACCTAGTAATTAGAAAAATAAAGGGCATTTTTTGTAGTAGTTTATTTTTAAGAAAGGAGCTCTGGTGCCTTGGTGGATAGAGAGTTGAGCTGCTAACCCACAGCCCATCCCTCTTTGGCCATTTGAATCCAACCGTGGTTCCTCTGGAAAAAAGGTGGACAATCACCTCCTGTGAGAGGGAGCACTGGTGTCTAGTGGGTAAGGAATTGTACTGCTAACTGAAAGATAGGCAGTTCAAATCCACCAGCTCAGTGGGAGAAAAGCCTAACGAATGATGTGCTCCTGTGACGTTTGCTGTCTTGGAACCCTGTGGGAATAGCTCTGCCACATGGGATTGTTCTGGGTCAAAATCAGCCTAACAGGTCACTCAGGGTTTGTGGAATGTGTTCCTCGCCACAAGAAAATCAGACTGGACTGGGTTATAAAAATGCCTCAGATCAGATTTACCTGGTATATCTACCTAAATTTACTAGATCCTCTTAAATAGACTAAGCTGTGTAAAATAAGATGATACTGTTTTTACACCGGACAGTGGTTTTGTGCATTCAAAATGTATGCCTTTGATGAGTCATGATCATTACATGACCATGCATACTGGTGTCACTAATTCACATATTTCTCCCTCACTATTTACCACTCAATTTTATGTGTTCATTGTGCTAAAATATCAGTGTTAAAAGGAACAGCTGTTCTGCTACTGACAATTTAGTCTTGGGTAAATCACAACCTCTCCATACAACTTCTTTAATCCCTAAAGTGAGTTTGTTAGTCTAAAGGGTCTAATCCAGTATTCTGATATCTTGAGAAAGCACATGTCTTAGATATTTTGCCACTGGAGAAGGCCACTTAATCGCTACAGCTCTCAGCTTCCTAGCCCAATCCCGCAAAATGTTCCTGGGATAGTTGCAAGGTAAGGTCAAGCTTTAAATGTTCAGCTTTCCCAAGGAGGACAGGTAGCTGAGGGGGAGCCACCCAGGAGTGGGCTTTTATCTCATTGAAGTTGGTCAGAAAATAGATCAAAGGAAATATGCTCTCAGAGTTTATTCCATTTTATCTTTTTAGTTATATGGTTGAACATGCTTCATGTTTACTGATAATTTGCAGTTCTTTAGTGAATGTACTTGTTTATGCCCCCTGCCCATCTTCATTTCTCCTCATTGACACACAGCAACACTATGGAATGAAATGTACTGTGAGCCAAGTACAGATGGGAGGACAAGGTAGAGTGACTTCAGTGGAAGACAAATAGTGGAAATTTAATGGGTTACACTTCAGGTGGTTGACAACAGGATACAATTTCTTGGTGAGAACAGCTTTTCGAGCATGTTTACAGGCATTTAGACCTTCAGCCTGAGGCTTTAGGTCTCTCAGTCCTGCGAGAGACAATTTCCCACCAGCCCTCAAGCAAGTGGAGGTGAAGGTCTCCTGCTCTGGCTTCATGGGGTGAAAACCCCAGGTCAGCTCTGTCCGGTGACCGCTGTTCTCC